CCCTCCTGCCCGAGCTCCTGCAGCTCGGCTGCCTTTTCCTGCGGGCCGGCTCTGAGATGACGTTGTAGTCCCTTCTGTCCACCCACCTCTTCGCTACCTGTCCCCTTTTTTCCCCCTGGCCGTGTTCTTTTCCCGTCTCCCATCTTACCCTTGTCTCTGTCCCCACCTCTTTGTGCACATCCGTATTCTGATCCCTGCCCGGGTTATGTCGCGCCGCACGCACAAATGCAGACACACCTCTCAACTGCTTTTCCTCTGGAGCGTAGAGCTCTCAGCCCCCTCGGTCGTAGTCCTGGCTGCCTTCAGTATCACTCAGTATATTCAGTATATAATTTTTGGATGCATGTGGCTTTTCTTGACCCGACACCAGGTCTTTGGAGCAGAATACTTGTTCTTCTCTTCCTCTTTTTTTTTTTTTTTTTCCCTTCCTCCCCCCACCCCAGCATTCTCTGTCCTATTAAAGAGGTGGTTAGGATGGTATTCGTGCTTAGAGTGGGGCTGTTGGGAGGGTGTTTTATTAATTATTGCTTTTCTGCAGTACTGTGCAGTGCCTTGGAGTTGCCCTTGATTGTTGAGAGCTGCCTGTTGGTGCACAGCTGGTGACCAGGGACATAGTTTGAAGCACAAGTGGGAGCACATCAAATGAGCATTTGGAGTTTTGTTCTAAGCTTGCTACATTAGCTGTGTGCTGAGCTGGCCCTGTACAGGCTTGATTTGACACAGCAGAGAAAATGGTGGATGGGGAGTTCTTTTAGGTTCAATATTGTGGGAGCACATGTGAGGAAGCCCCAGTTCTTTTTCAGAGAAGCTTAAAATGTCAGCATAGAATCGTGAGGATTTAAAACACAGAATATATTTAAATGTCAGACAAAATCTTTATAGTTATAAAGCTGCAGGAAAAGTAAACCATATTTAGAAAATAAGGTTTATTCTTAAATGTGAATTTTCTGAAGTGATAGGTAGTACTGTTACTGGCAGGTAGAGCATCAGCAGAGGTTTTAAAACCAAGTCAATTTTAAGCAGGGACTTGTAAATTAGGCTATTGTACGTCCTGTATGTTTTCACTTTGATTTTCATGTGCATGCAAAAATTATTTGCTATAATGATTTCTCTGACTTAAGATGTCTTGCACCAAAATAAATCCCCCTTGATCATTGCAGTGTTTTACTTGGATGCAAGTCAGACTTGCCTGGATTATGGAATAGAGCATGTGTTCTTTTCAGCAGGTTTTATTGGAAGAGTGTTCAATGAACTAAGTCACTTCACAGCACAAAACCAGGATGGCCAGGAAAATATATCAGTGATAATTATTTGTTATGCATGATCTGGCGCTTGCTCTGTTTGGAGTATTCAAGGGTGTGTTTAGTTTAGTCTGTTGCTGAGATACATAAATGCCTAGGAAAGGAGCTGCTTCACATGGATAAAGTGAAGTCCTCTTATAAAAGTTCTTATCTAAGTAGACACTTCAGCTGCTCCCTTCATACTAGTTCTGGCTAAGAAGGAACCTCCTGTATGTGCTTTTTTAAACTGTGGTGAAAAATAGTGGTGTTTTGAACGTGAGGTGAGTGTGAGAGTGACTTGGTGATGTCCTGGCATGTTGCTACTGTTTCATCTCTGTCATGATTTCTGCAGTAATACTCAAAACCAGGTTATCCACGCTAGGTCTGATTTTGGTGCTGGTTTCTGAGCCATTTATTTTCACCTTGTTCAGCTGAGCAAGCAGCAGAACCAAGAGGAATTGGCTTTTGGTGAAGCTGCATGATGTGCTGGACAGAATGAGTGCAGCTGAGCCTTCAGCAGCATCAGCATCTGGTAGATATTGCCAGAGAAGATGTTCTAACCATGTTCTGATAGATGGATCCCTTGCCTCTCCTGCTGCCTAAAAGCAATGTATCTTGGGCTACAATAACCAGTTTAGTAACTGACACTTTAATTTCTACTTTCAGGCTGAAAGATGAGGGCCACTGTTGAAAGAATGCATAATATTACCATGTCAAGTGGTGTGGTTCTCTTTACACTCCTGGGTGTGAGCCTGTTAATCAAGTGTGTGCTGTGTGCAGTCAAGTATTAATATGCTGCATTAATCAAGTGTGCAGTGGTGCAAAGTTGCAGTGCAAGAAAGCAGAAATAAATGTTTTCAGTAATGGCCATGGACCAAGCTGCCTCTCGCTGTTTTGAGACAGTCAGTGTACACTAGTAGTATTCTATTTTTAGCTGTAAAATGAAAAGTCTTGGTTTCATATTCTAGGAATGTGCAGAGTGGATTTATCCCTGTGGTTACTATCCACAGTTTCTGTTGATTTCTGAACTGTGTACATTTTGTGTTTATAAGCAAGCGTAGGTAACGTTACTGGAGTAGATGGATCCTTTCAGGTTCTTCGGTGAGAATGTTGCCATTAATTCAAAGCCACAGTAAATGGCTAGGTGTGACTGTCATGCTGCGAAGGTACTGCAAGGTGTTGTACTTGCCTGTTGCATAGGTATTGAACCTTTTCTGAAGAAATGTGATCGCTGCGGGCTACATGTTGAAAGTGCCGATTTCAAGCCTGAAATTAATACAGGACACTTGAAGGATAGCTGAGGTTTTAATACTGGAAAGAGCACTCAGTTCTTTTGACGTTTCATGGATAACTTTGAAGACTGGAAAATGGTGTCCTAAGTACTCACTTTATTTCTAGATGACCAGAGGAAAATTAGCATAGATTTATTTAATGAAATTCCATTTCACTAGACAGAATTCAGCAAGGTGGATGAATCATTTGGATGTCAGAAATGATAGTGTTACCATGGCTAAACAAGTTGTCACTCATCAACTGAAGGATAATGAATGATCGCTTACACCTTTCTTGCTGTCAGTTGTGAAATAAAAATGCAGAGAGGATTTAAGGTAATGGGATTTTGGCAATTGCAGCTATTGGGGAGATTGTAACAGGAGTTACAAAGTGAACAGAAAGTCATCTACTTCAGACTGACTGTGGTTTAGGTTCTTCTCTTTGTGGATTCTTTTCAGATTCCAGCATGAATTTCTGAATTAGCTTTAGTCCCTCTAGTTTTGCAGTTGTCTTCAGCAAACATCCCAGATGCCAAGGGGAGAGGCGGGGTTGGCTGTTCAACTCTTAAGGAGAAAGTCATCAAAAGTTTGGGTGGGCAAAGCCAATTTCAAGAGCCAGGCTGGAAACGTAATCTGTCCCTCAGAGCTGTACTTGGTCACCCAGTGCTACTATGTCCTCATGTGAGCATGTGTAGGGCATTTCTTGAAAGACACTTAGTTACTGTTAAATGGAGCTTTCAAATATCATTCCTAGTAACTCATTAATTGTTATTTTTGTGTAGAATGCATCATGACATTTTTACTGAGTTGAACTAGTGCAGGCTTCAATTGTATATTACTAAGGAATGTGAACTAAGGATTGTGAGACAGTATTGTGGTGGTGTTTTGGGACAAAGCATCTTTGCCTGAGGGTCACTTTCCTCCCCTTCCCCCAGCCCCATTCTTTCTGCAGCATCTGCATTTCTGTGTAGGCAGGTTAGTTAGTGATATGTATCTTGGCTTGAGCCCTTCCAGAATTTAAGACTTCTACATACATTTGAATTGCTTTATGTGCATTCTGTACTTCATAAGTTTGTCTTTATGTAGGTATATGTGTAGATGTAAGTACATGTATTTATATAATATATATCATGTATATATATTTATATATGTGTAAACAAAGATTTTAATTTTCTGTGTTACCTAACAAGCTAGACTTTTTATTATAAGATGAAATTTAATCTATTTTTTAAATTTGCATTTGACCATTATTTTTTGACAACTCAGAAGAGTTCTTATACTCTTTGAGTAACCATTTGGGCTACAGAATGAGAGAACTGCTGGTTGCAGATTTGTTTGCTAAATTAAAAGTACATAGATTCTGTCAAAAAGTCAATGAATAGCAAATTTAAATAAGGAATTAACTGAAAATGACTAATAGAGATTAGAAATGAAACATTTTTGGTGCTTGCAGTAGATGTCAGCTTAAATCCAGCACTACTTACCACCACTGTTATTGATGCATCTAACCCAATATTCTAATAAGGCAAAAAGGGGTTATAATATGCACATCTTCTGAAAGTGTGGCAACTAATGAAAGCTTTAAGCTGTCTGACAGGCAAATCCACTATTTCATTTTAAAGATCTTTGTATGGTCTCTGGTGCTGTTTTTTTTGTTTGTTGTGTTGGTTTTTTCCTTCGTATGTAACTTTCTGTTATGTGCTGACTGACTTCTAACATTCTAATATGACAGAATTTGGGCTTTCAAGCTTTCTGCTCACCACATTTCTTATTGGTGAGTAATGTGCTGACAGCCAGGACTTGTCTCTCTCGCCAGCTTAGCTCACTGGCTGTTCCAGCCTTTTCTTCCTCTCTTCTGTAATGTTTTCCTGCCTTTATTATGAGGGTTGCTAGTGCAACGCAGTGCTGTATTAGAGAGTGAATTTGTTGAGTTCTTTATTATTAGTGACTCTGTAAATGGTTTTGTGCTTCTGTCTTCAAGAATGACCTAATGGTGAGGATTTGGCATTCTGCGTAGTAAAGGTGCAGTCTTTATCTGTAAATTTTCACACTTAGCCTTAAAGAACAGCTGACACTAGTGGAGATTTTTAGATTACTAATTAAGGAGTGTGAACAGAGATTAATGCTAAGACTG